GAACGGTGCTGATTTTACACTGTTTTCAATGGGGCTTGAATACGTGGACTGGACCCCTACGTAAAATTGTTGAGTCATTCTCATTTCGGAAGATTATTAGGATTCAAATTTTGTGACAATCCTGCAGTTTGGATTTCAGGAATTTGAGACTTGCCTTGAAGTAGGGCTGTGGTGGCGACAGAAGAGAGACCGATTGTTGAAGAAAGCCACCACAGCCCTACGTGTGGGGCTAGCTAGGCCGAGGCCCGCCATGTCCTGACCAGCATTTGTTGGCGAAGTTAAGCCAAGGTGTGGACTTATTTCAGTGGTAAATTTGTGACAACAAGCATGACTTAATACGACCTTCCCCATCCAGTTTCAAAGTTCTGAGGCTACCCAGTTGATTTGTGTACTTTTTAAAAGTGCTTTCCCTGTATTCTACCTACTTACCAAATCATAATCCTCTTCTTCGTCGCACATGAAATCATCATCTGCGTCCGACATCTTGAAAGTTGGGTAGACGGATTTGCGCCCTCTGTTGATCCCTAAAAAAATTACTATCTTGTGCTCTTGGTGGCGCTATTGTCATGAATATTCATTACTGTTGCTAAGTTGTAAAACTTTACAGGGGCGTCCTTAGTGACATGTAGTTACCGAAAACTTGTCGGTACGGTAAACGTAAACTAAAATCATTTCACGTGTAAGACATTAGTTTTCCGGACACTTGACGGGTAGGAGCGATTCGCGGCTTGATTCTGGAAGTATTAAAGAATAAATAACAAACAAGATGGACAAATCAAGCGGGCTAAAGGAAGATGGAAGCCCAAATATTGCTGCAAGAGAGAGGGGTACGTAATTAAAATGAAGTTTCCGTGGATATTCGTTCCAAAAGATTTTTTCCAACCATGGCAAAGGCCTAGCCGAGGTCATTTTTCGAGGCTTGATGTTTTAGCCTAAGTGTTCAAACGAAGGAAGGCCTAGGCCTAAATACTGTGGCTCTTTCAGTCAGAATCACTGGACAGTGTCATGATTCAAGACAGTAACTAAAATGAAATAAAAATGAAATAGTTTTCTCTAAATTAAGAAATTCATCATTAGAAAATCAACTTGTTCAGTTGTTATGATGGATCTGGCTGCAAAATGGATTTCTTGTGCTGTTAATTTAGGCCTAGGTCTACTTGTAAATTAACAGCAATCTTCTGTAAAGAAGATTTTGTCACGATCCAGAACTGGTTAAACTGATCCAGAACTAAAAAAGTGTCCTCGTCACTTTCGTTGATCCTGTAAGTGCAAATTCAAAGTTAAGCTAAGATTTTGAAAATAATTCGGTAGTACCTCCAACACACAAGGTGGACAAGGCCCTACTGACTAAATTTCACCAGAATTTTAAGTTTTTTTGTAGCTGCAATCTGACTGGATATTTTTTGTGATCCAAAACTAGGAAAACAACTGTACCGTCGCATTATGCCTAATAAAATTAAATTCTTCCTTTTTTCAGGACCGGGACCTGGTCGCTATGGACTTCCTTCCACTTGTGGATATATTAAACACGACTCCACCAAACACATGAAACCTGCTTACTCCTTTGGCAACCGGCTAGAGAACTCTAGTAAGTTTGCTTAGTAACGTTACACCTTACATTCATGGTAATTTTTGCTACATTTATGCGACATCATGTCTTTTGTGATACTAGCAAAGTCACTTGTCCAAATGCATATATTTTATTGAAACTTTGACTTATACTAAATTATTTTTCTATTTAAATTTCTACATTTGCCAAGAAATTGTCTTTCAGACAATTCAAATTTAAGTTTATTTTGTGGAAATGTTGGAATTACCAATACTAATCTATCTTTTTTACAGTGTTTGGAAAAGACATCAGTCCAGGCCCAGCACATTTCATCACCCCTACCATCACAAGAGTTGGAAAGGATGGCACGCCAGCATATTCCATCCTAGGCCGACAGAAGGATCCAAGTGAGTCAAAATCTGTTGTGGCTACTTGTTGCTTTCCCCTTTTTTCTGGATGCAGTTGTAAAGTTCCAGACATTACCAGAAGGTTGATAACTGAGGATTTGGGACATCCATTTTCAAGCCTTGGGGATTCTTAGCAGCAGATAACCAAATACACGTAGTTGCTTCAGTGAAAACACAATGTTTCTCACAATTGGTTGTTAGTCATGTACAGTCCAACCTGGTTAATAACAGCACTGTTAGTACTAGATTCTGCTGATAACAAAGAAATTTTTAGGTCCCAGTCTTTTCTTTTTCATTGTTTTCATTCCTGATAATGCAAGATTTCTGTTATAACAAGCTAATTTGCCAAGTCCGAAAGATGTCTTATTAACAATGTTTGACTGTACATACTGACATACATGTAGTTTTGTAAACCTAAACATTCATGCATTAGGCATTTTGTTGCATTAATGGTAAATTTTTCAGCTGCAATTTTTGAATGAAATCTGTGAGCTTAATTTCACGATTAACATTTTTAAAAAATCAGTTTTCAATAATGAATTACATTGTAAACATTTTGTTACAGATACATTTGTCACACCCTCACCGTACGCCTACAGTCCAGAGAAGGTGCACCCACAAGGCGAGCGCCACGCTCCAGCCTACTCCATGGGTGCCCGCACCCGGTTTAGGAAGCGAGACCAAAGCCCCGCCTCCAACAGCTACACCCTGCCAAAGCTCATCGGGCCCAAGGTGCCCAACAAGAAGTCCTCAGCCAGCTACTCTATGACGGGCCGGCCCACAGTTGGCAGCTACCTGGAGGACATGTCTAAGACACCAGGCCCGGGCAGCCACAACGCCGTGCATCCAGACATCACCCAGAACAAGAAACCCCTGTACTCCATGCTAGGTAGGAACAATATGCCCGGGGACGGGACACGTAAGCCTGGACCAGGAGCCCACAGCCCAGAGAAGGTGACTGTCAACAAGAAGAAGTACCCAAGCTACTCCCTGGGGATCAAACACTCGGAATTCGTCTGTCCGCTCATCATCGATGTCACCGACTAGATGCAGAGGTCATCAGAGAGTCTTGCCAGTAGTTTACATATCTCTCCAGTCACAGAAGCTTTATTTAAAAAAGGTTTTTGGCCAGGGGCCAATTTTCACAGACCTACATGTATTGCTGTGGCGTGCAGAAATTAAATATACTGTCAAGCAAAACTATTTCTCAGGCAAGTGCTGATAAGAATCTTGGAAGAAGCAATGCACAAGTACATCATTATCTTGGCTCATTTCAGCAAAACTATGTATCTTTCAGCACTTATACCCTGTTAAATTGGTCCCAATGATAAACCTGCCAATACATGTAGTTCCCAATTTATTGTATCACAGCTTCAAGATAATTGCTGCAAGATGGCACACTTTTTGGATACCCGTTTAGTTAGGTATTAAAATGAAGAGAGGCATGTCTCAAAGTGATTTCAACAGAAGACAGTTTGATCAAAATTTGGTCACTTGATATGATATAAAACAGCAGTGTTGATGGGTCAAGGTACCCGGTGCAACTTCTCATTTAAAATCAAACGCGGCAACTTTCAGTGATGCCACAAGGTTCTTTCCCCTCGTTTTCTATTTTCCCTATATTTATTATATATATGTACCTATTTTTCCACAGAATTCATTTTACCAACTTTCCGTCCTCACAATGTACATGTATCTATTTTTTTGGCAGTCAAAGCAGGGTTTGAAAGATAAACATGTTTTTCAACAGTTTGGTCCTGTGTGAGGTCACACATTTCCATAGAGTTGGAGGAAGCATGTAAATATATGTAATATTATATTGGCAGCAGATAATGGCAGTATGTGTACAATGTACAATAAGTTCACCATATAAGATCTTTGAAAAGTTCAAAGGTCAGTATTCCAGGCTTCAAAATGTGTGCTCACATTCATGATTTAATATGCAACCAGTGATGAAGAAAATACAATAATCTATGCAGCATTTGAATATTGATCATTTTTTGTACAGTAAAAACATTAAATGTAACCCAGTTGATAAAATGAAATAAAGCAATACTTGTACATGTATGTATATACATGTACACATGTATAAATGTAACATAATTTGTAGTTGGAAATTTTCTCCTTTGAGGGTCCAGTTTGGATTTTTAATTTTTCATGGTACAAAAAGATACCTGTTACCTTCCCTTGTTGATGTTAAGTAAAAAATGTTTGATTTATGGTTCTTTCTGCATAAATTGGGCATATTTGGCCTAAAATTAGAAATGACAACAAAAGAAACGGCAGAAATTGAAAGAAGAAAAACAGCAGTTCAAAGCAGATACATGAAACGACTAGGTTTACGCAATTTATTTAATCACAAAACATTTCTTCCATTTACAAATGAAGATGTACAAAATGTTAGCAATGGAAAAACCATTCACTTTGATGGCATATCACTGCTCTGTTACGTTGAACCTTAATACATGTAACCCTGAGGCACACTAAGATCTCCCGATCACAGCATTTCGCACAAGACTTGGGTATAAGTCTTTGAACAAATACAACACCTTTAGCTTATTAAGACACAAAAACATTTGCAATGTACATATAGCACAGTTCTTGCAAATGAACAATACTGTTCAAATAAGGCTGGTGCTTATATTACAATATCAAATTGGCACACATATTGTACATGTACCAAAAGGACAAATGTTGAACAGATGTTACAATGAACAGGAGACTAAAAAAAAATGAGGAAACAGTTGTTTGCAGCATTTTCTGTCACTATACTAAGAGTATCATTTCCTTCCAATTGAACAAAAATGAAATGGCCAAGTACTACGTCTGTGCTCCAGTTCTGCAGTGCATTGGAGATGTTAGGATGCTGCAAAAATATTGAGTTGTTACTGCACACTAGTGAAGCAATCCTTACCAATGAATAATGGACCAAATGCATACACTGTGCAATTTAGTTCCTTTTGGCTTTGTACTGTCAAATATGCCGACACAAATTATCACTTGTTAGTGTGCAGCCATACAATGAATTTAAGAGTTGAAGGAGAAGATTTGTACTTTCTGATGTCAATCCAGTCAAAAACTTGTTTTCTCTGAAAGTACAGGTACATGTAAATACATATCGCTGCATACCTGTAATAGCTTTGAAATTCAGTTTATGAAAAAATTTCTTTCAAGCCAAGCAAAGAAAATCAGAAGGAAATTTGCTACATTTGAATATTGGTGATAAGATACCAACATTTACTGGATGGATACATGTACATGTATGTGCAATGTACATGTACATGTAAGTACCATGTACAGTATATACACCTCCTTTGCTGTAACCGTCACAAAAAAAAGAGGCAAAAATCCTTGCCACTTGATTCCCCCAGTACAGAGACACATGTGGGAAATTCGACTGGTTTTGACTGATAGGACAACTGTGTCAAGAATGTGTCTTTGCACAGGAGGGGTATCTGATGAGGTTTTCAACCACTGAGGTACAGATAAAAGTGCATGTACTGTACCTGGTACACTGTATAGGACAAGTTGCTTAAAATGGAGGACTCGTGCACAATGTCATACATGTACATGTACCGGTACCTGTACTTGATAAGCATTTCTTTCATGTGTTACTCCCTGCTGTTTCTGCTGACATTTCCAGGATTTAATCAAATGATTTACAAAAACTAAGCATTTACTCAAAGATGACATATATGAAATACCTTTCCTGTCACATACTTTATTAGAATTTGAATGATCCATTTTTATATAAAATCTGGCACTGTAGCAAAGTTACAGAGTGCATGTATACGAAACTGAATGAAATATATGTGATACAAAAAACCAGTACAGTACACGTACATGTACAGTACATGTAACAATTCTGTGCAACCAAATCCAATCATCTCTCCAGATTGAAATGACTATACATGCTTAACTATGAAGTAAAGAAATCCACTAACTGGGCCTGTGGCAAAGACACAGTTCATCTTTGGGAATTTATGGAATTTCACTGTACTCATGTACAGAAGATGGACACCTACATGTACATGTATATGTGCTGTGCCCTCTCCTCTGTCTTGGATTTCAAGTCTTCGTTAGACCATGGACACTGGTACATGTAACCCCTTCTGGGCACTCGAAGTTGAACTCACAGTAAGGAGAACAAAGGGTCCTTGATCACTACACAATGAGCCAGTTGGGTATTTCAACATGACTTGCTTGGTTCTGAAACCAAGCAAGCATGCATGTCTACGTAGAGCTTCACTTACTGGGCATACCATATACCGGTACTTCATTGTGGCCATGTGCTCGTGGAATATCGATCTGGCTCATTATGGGATCGGTCAGGGCTGTTATTCCTCTGGGATTCTGGGAGTCAAGGTAAAGAATAAAGGGCCATGCTTGCTTTGCAATGTGCGTAAAATTGAAAATGAAACTCACGTGTTACCATGACACTCATTCTGGGTAGTGTTTGACCTTGTCTTGGTGCTTCTCTTTCCCCAACTTACATGTAAGTTAACACTTCCCGTATAAATGTTACATTAAATATTTGAACATGGTAAACAATATCAAAAGCTAGATATGATAAATGATCCTGATCTAATCAAGGGTAGCACATATTTGTCATAAATGGAATAAATAATTTCTGTGATTTGAGAAAAGTTCTATGGTTCAACTCTGACTAACTACGCTAGACTACATGTACATGTACCATCCGAACTGGACAGTGTAGAAATAAGGTCATTAATATGTACAAGATTGCTTTAACATTTACATTTTACAAGTGTAAACCAGGTGGAACTGAACCAAGTAAGGGCATCATGGATTGCGGGAGGGGCCCGTAGAAAGGTAGGGGAAAGGGGGCTTGGCTATCCTGTTCATCATTGAATCATATTCTGTACTTCTGAGAGGGGTTTGTTGTGTGGTCTTCTGAAGAGGAGAATGTGTGGCTCTGGAGCAAAGAGAGCAGAGGCAGGGAAAGGAGGTTTTAGTAGAGCGAATGAAGAAATACATGAACTACATGCAAAATATCAAGTACAGTATTCTAGTCCTAACTGACGGATTCACCAAGGTCCAGGTTTGCCAAGTTCTTCTCACTTTAGTTTTTATGTCCCAATTATGTGCCACTGTGCAGCACTGCTGGAATTTAAAGGGTTCAAGGAAGTACACGAATACCAGCAAAAAAAAAAGAAGACTGAGACAGAAGTAATAAACAAGCACAAAGAACTGAAAACATTACTGTCGAAACTCCTTAATATCAAGAGCACTGTTAAAACAACATTCTGCTCGGAACAAAGAAATATTCAGGTCCCAATCCATTGTTCACTGTTTTCATTCCTGAATCTGCAAGGTTCCTGACATCTTCCTGTTAATTAACCCTTACCCTACATAATGCCACAAATTACTACCTGCAGTATAAAAATGTAGCACTGAGCGCTGTCGCTTGTTAGAGGACATGACCTTATTGTTCTCTGAAGCCATAAAATACAATAGAAAAGACAATGTACAGTACATGTACCATACAGTGCTCTGGCACTATGAATGCATGGCGGTAGGTATGAGTAACAGTGAAAGTAACCTAGCCAGAAGTAGTCATTTGTAGAGCTAGGTCCTTCAGGCTCAGGCTACTACTTAGTATTTTGTAGAACTGAGTACTGTAAGCCAAACAATATGCTTGGCGGTTAGGGTTATGGCAAGGTTACCTGCAAAGTACATGTAAGAGGTTTCACAAGTGTACATGTACATGTACTTTGGGGGAACTATTTTTGGGATGAATTCTCTAAGAAGGAAACATTACAACAATGCGTCACAGCTATTTGATCTACAGGTGCATACTACTATGAGAGAGACTTTTGAGATGCGCTGTGGCAGCAAACATACTGTAAATGTACAGTACGTGACCAGTCCTCTGATATTTGTATCCCTTTTGACTAAATGCGCATACACTGCATGCTCAAACTAAGGCAACCAATACTGGACTGGTCTAGGATGTTTGCTGCCACCAAGTGTCTCCAAAGAGCCTGACTCTGTTGCTTGCATGGAAAGAGAAATCATCAGTACAGCTGTTACTTCGATGAAATCTTTTACCTGGTTCGTGGGCCATGTAGTGAACCCATCCTTGGCTCTGCTGCACTCCAAGGCTCCGCCATTCCGCTTCAGTCATCAGGTGGCCCTTGTGGACCAACTTAGCAATCTGCTTGGGCAGCATCACATGCCTGATGGGGAAAAGAACAGAACTTGAGACTTACATGATTTATATGTGTGGAAAAAGAACTCCAGTTACAAGTATGCTTGATAGCCTTTCCAATTTCCACTTTATCAAAGCAAGTTTGGTGGCTGTGACCATATCGAAACTGTACACTGAACATTATGCTGCTCAGGAAAGAGTCGTCGGTGCGCGTGTGCCAACACAGCATGCTTTCTGTGAATGGTCCGCTAGGCCGGTGCGCCATGACGTCATCAACAGGACATCAACATTTAGTTCAAATTGCTATTTGAAGAAAGATGGCATCTTCGAGCTCATCAACAAGAGCGTTTCTGATTTGAAGGGGAAATTTCTCTTTCCCATGTGAGTAAACGATTTTGGGTCAGCTCATACCTAAGTTAACTCATACCCCGGTCAACTCGTACCCCGGTCAACTCGTCCCCGGTCAACCCGTACCCTGGTCAACTCGTAACCCAGTCAACTTGTACCCCAGTCAACTCGTACCTTCGATGAAAACACACATTTGTGACCCAAACGTATTATGATCATTTTCTTCCTTTTTTACCCCAAACGGATTACGATAACTTTTCTTCCCCTTTTTCCTGTTTTCGTTATCATTAGGAATGGTGAAACTTGCAAGTGTTTTGGTCCTCGAGCTGGGCGATTAGTTGTATTTTATTCATGATTACAAGTCTATCTGTCTTTTGTTGTGCAGGGACCAAATAACGGAAATTTCCCAACCCAGGTCACTGTGATTGGTCCAAAAATAAAAAGAACAAGGAAAAATCTCTCTTTTTAAAATTAATCATTAAATAAACAGCAGGCAGATCTATCTCTATGCTTCATGAAGCAGCATATTGAACATGGCAAAATTATTTTGAGACTTTTTTCACAGTAAATTATTGCGATCTATCATGTTTTTAACTAATCAACATCCCCTCTTCCCGGACAAAAGGTGAACCAACTGAAGCATTCATTCTGAATCAGAGTTTATTTGATTTCTGTAAAGGTATCATAAACACAGTAGGCGTACATTTATTTAAAAACTCTCACTAGAGGTGGTACCAAGTTTGTTTGCAATTCAAGCAATGCGCCCACCCCTTCTCCCCAAAAGCAGGTAACCTCAAACATACACGTTCAATCAAAGTGGATTCACTGATTTTTTTATTAAACAAGCCATACACAAAAACACACTTAGATATGAAAAGTGGACAAGGGTGTTGACTGGAGAGGGAATTAACGTCCGATCTCTGGAACATGTGTTCAGGGGGCAATGTAGTCTGATGCCATTTATGTCCTACTTCTTGAACACAGTCGGGATTTTTCAACAAAATCTGACTAGACTGGTATATACATGTACGTTTGCATTCAATAAATGAGAGCATCAAAACCCATATTATGATCCGCATATTCACTGCTGACTGGGCCTGGTGAATACGAGTCGACTCGGGTAGGATTCTACGAGCCAACCTGGGTACGAGTTGACCTGGATGCAATTACAAGTTAATTTGGGTGCATATTTTGGGGTATGAGTTAACCCAGGTACAAGTTGACCCATTTCATGAGTAAACCATATTATCGTAATATTGGAATCTAGGATTTTCACTTAATCCATAGACGGACGCATTAGACATTTTAAGGGCAGTTTTAGAGGTGACTTCGGAGGATTTTGACTAGGGGTGCAAGCCATTTCGAGTGAAATGAATTAATGGCATGAATGGAAGTAAAAGTATATTAAAAGTACTTTGGACCCTATTTGGAAACTCATTTCCTTAAGTAGGAAACTGTGTTTTATAAAATCCATCTTTTTTGCACGCTGTAGCTCCTCTATCAGTGCCTAGCATGTCTAGGCCTATTTAATTTCCAATTTCAAAATTTTGAAATTTAAATTTGAAGTTAAGCTAGCAATTTGATTCATTGAAATAGCCTAAGGCACAAATAAGAACAAAGATTTTACAGAAGAAGCATAGAGCAAGGACAGACCTTTTCAGTTGAAATCCACACTAACTTATTTTTTCAAAATAATCACAGTTTGCTCTGGCCTCTGCATATTTACATGTGTATTGTACAACCATGAAAAAACATCTCAAAACATCCCAACTTCAAATCTATTTTTCTATGCTTTGCAGAGTCCGATGATGGAATCTAAATTTATATTAAAATATTTATTACGACATCCTCTTCAAATCAAGATACAGTCAAAAATAAAACTGAAAACTAATTAAGAAATCTACCTCCCTTACTTGTACAGACATGACAGAAAACACTTTGAAAATAAGTTTAGACTCTGGCGTGGGCTTGATGTACTAATGATGTATGGCTGAGGGAAACGGGAAACGAGAGGACCCACACGACATGCATGACTGGCATGACCAAAGAACATTCCAAAGTTTCCAAACCTGTGATCCACCATACCATGTGTCCATCCACAACACGTCACAAGATCCAACCGCCATGACTCGACTGCAACATAACTCGGTCATCATGTCAGTAGGGGCCTAACTGTCCAAACCGATAATGGGCCTAAATTAATCTGTTTATACCTAATAGATACTCACCTATACTCATACGTATCATCAAAATATTTATCTGAATAGTATATCTCTTTATGTGCCATTCTGAGCGTGATAAATTCCTTGAAATTCTGATCCCACCAGAGCTCCGCTTAGTCGACGTCGTTCTGCAATATGTGATGCCGAAATTAAATTGCAACTTCACCATTTGAACCAGCCGCTTCTCACGCCTCTTTTGATTGGTCCGGTCCAGGGAAGAAAAGATGAAGACTTATCCCCATTGGCCAAAATTTAGCATGTGACTTAAAAGGAAGGTTGACAAAACAGCGCCCTCTGTTAATGTAACATGTAAATTTTGGGCCATTTGGAAAATTTGGACTTAATTTTAAAGGCTATAGAAAATAGATTACTAACTTATAAAAATGGAGCCCGGTGAAAATTCCTCAAACTCAAGCAACAGTTTATATTTCAGTAACAGAAAATAGGGCTGTGATGACCCGCTGTTTCTCTTACCAGTCGTAATCGTATGACTTTCTTGAGTTAATACGGCTGAAGCCCTCCTAGACGAACCGCCGTTTGGAATCCCGCAAGCGAACCTTAAGCACGCTACATTATATAGCGCCCTCAATCCTTGGTAAAAGCCGAAGCTTGCGAAGGCCGAGGAAGAGGTATCGATATTGTTTGCTTGCATTTTTACTCGGCATTTGATTATTTCATGAAGCACAATTCGTGCATTTGTTTACTATAAATGGAAGCCTTTACTTTTGGAACATTTCTACTTGTTTGTTATGGCGTACTTAATGTATTAGCTTTCTTAATTTTTTACAGCTTGTCACTTGTCTGTGCTGTGCAAGTGCAATGCAATTATCATGCCATGAGTATACATCACAGTCACACTTACATTACTACATGATGTATGTTCACCCAGCACTGCCGGTGTATCAATTTAAGTTAATACATGTACATGGGGTTGAATGGGGTGGCGAATGACAGGGGTAGCCATAATCCGGTCCTGCCTCCTGCAATATGGCTTCGAATTTTGATCAAAAGAGCCAGTGTAAGTGTTCGATTCTTGTGCATGCCGTAGTCTCACATGGAGATGCCACACCGTGTGTTGCCAACATAGAGTACAACATAAACCGTTGAATCATGGAGGAAGGAAAACATGGTTGAACATGGTTGAATATACATGTATTTCTTGTAGGGGTTTTCCTGAAGATATATCCCACATATATATTTGCAATGGACGTTTGTAATAACACACACGATAAAGCCAAAAGTGCAGAAGTTTTTTAAAGAGATACACGTATTGAGCCATTTCATGCAACAGCGTCATAAGAACTTGAGTATCATTTCTTGACCTATCTTTAACTGATTTTTATCGACACCATTAAACCCTACTAAACTCTACACTATTTGAATATCAACTAGGCTTTTGGTTAAGCAGTGTATTGCTGTGACAGAATAAAATCACAGCGAACCTGATCTTTAAGTTAGTGAATCTGACTTTAAAAATCTTTTGCAGACTAATGACTATCACAGTGGCCTTTAGTTCAACAATGGCTTCATATTTATGTGTTTCACATTCTTGTGAAAACCCCGATTGCAAGAATATCATGATTTTGTTTTGCATGAAGAGAGGAAATAAACAATTTTTCACTGCTCGAAAAAGGCTGCTGCATATTTGATTACATAAGATCATTGGCTCACAAAATAATCCATCAAATGTCTCGTTTCCATCACAAAACCTCACTGGCATTCCAGTATTGACCCTGAACAATAAGCAAAACTAAGTTGAGGAAGGAAACATGTGGCATGGCAATAGGTAGCCCCAGACCGGGGGCCAGTCTACTGCAATAGGCTACACTACATTCTGGCCTAAGCGGTAAAGCCTGAGGCTGATGCAGCTGGAAATACCAAGAATTATTAATTAATATTTAGCTCACGACATGGGGGGATTTGCCACATGTAGAATGAAGTGGGGAAAAGTTCCATACACGGACGCGGTCGGGGCGGACTTTTGCACAATGGCGGGTTGTAACCAATGAAAACAGTTCTTTGCATTGTTTTAATTGGTTGCTACCCGCAGATTTCCACTCTGCCCAGTAGGGCCTAGTGACTTATTAGTCCGAGTAACTGGGACTTTGCACATCACCTTTTTAAAATTGGGCATTGTCGGGCGATAGTAGGGTCCAAGTACCTTCCATAGGCTTTTGCTGATTTAAATTATAGGTTAATGTCCTGTTGATGACGTCATGGTGCGCCGGCCTAGCGGACCATTCACAGAAAGCATGCTGTGTTGGCACACATGCACCGACGACTTTTTCCTGAGCAGCATGATGTTCAGTGTACAGTTTCGTTGCGGTCACAGCCACTAAACTTTGCATGGACTCTTTGGCAGATGTGTACCCATAGACACTGCTCGATTCAGACAAAAAGTTCTGTGTAAGGTGGCTTAAATACGTTTGTCCTGTGCACGAAGAAAAAAACAGGTTGAAACCATGAGCACTGATGCATCCCGGAGTCATGAGGTTCACATGTGTACATGTACATGTGAAGACAAGCCACGCTCAAATGGCTGCAGTTTATGACAACTGTAGGCCATTAATTTCTTTGTTAGTTTGTTGTTGCTCTGTGTGTTGTTAACAAACTGATATTTTCGTAAGTGGATGGTGGATCATCTGCAATGGGGAGAAATATGTGTGTACCATTGGATTACAGCGATGTCTTGCATGGAGAACAAAACCAAATCAACCACTGTCCTGCCACCAAGTTTAGGATGTTGCTTGTAAGGTTGAGAGCAGCATATGGCAATGACTGATCCACGCGCATTCCTTAATTAAATACCGACAATCTGAGGGAATAAAAGCATACATTGTGCATGTACTTATTTATAATTTGTAAATCTTGCTTCTGTGACTCCTTTTCTTCATAGGATTCATTCCGAGCACCCTTATCCCTAGAAAAGGGACTTCAGAGCAATGAGCCGCAAACAGACACCCAGTGATTTCCTGAAGCAGATCATTGGTCGACCAGTTGTTGTCAAACTCAATTCTGGGGTCGACTACAGAGGTACCAGTCTGTTTAATAATCCAGACTACCATGGCATTGTTGCTTATTCATTGTACTTGACTTTCAAGGACTACGTCTTAGCCTTTTTTTATGAAATAGGTACAGTGCACTACCTTCCCCAATCCTGCAAATCGTCTAAAAACCCTCATGATTTTTGAATGATCTGGAAATATTGAGGCTGATGATAATTTTCATGAAGTACATGTATGTTTGTGTTAATATCCAACCTGTGTCTATTGTCCCGTCTGTACTTGGGTCAGGCCCATCCACATCAATAGTTATTCAACTGATGAAAAGGATCATCTACAAAACTTCGTCAAACTTTACGTCTTTGGCATTTTGATGCAGGGTCCAATTTCTTTTTTTAGGTGTGCTTGCCTGTCTGGACGGTTACATGAATATAGCCTTGGAACAAACGGAGGAGTACGTCAACGGTCAACTGAAAAACAAATATGGGGATGCATTCATCAGGGGAAACAATGGTAGGCCACAAAAATTGTCGAACTCCAGGACAAAAAAGACCGGGATGGACCATCGGCTGTTGGAAGTGAAGTCACTGTGCTCTAAATTACCACTTTACAATGCATTACATTTGTAAAGACTTTTTTCAAGGATGGATTGGTTGAGACTTGTTCCATCCATGCATTCCATTCCAGTGGTGGGATTGGGAACTAGAATATAGCTTCACTTAACAAAAATATTCAAAAACAGAAAAAAAAAAATTTAACGCATCATTGTCTTATTTGTTATGCAGTTTTATACATCAGCACGCAAAAGAGAACATACTGAAGTATGGTGTGGAGCAAGATGACGTTTTTCCAAGCACCTTGGTTAGACAACTAACACTGGTATTGCATATTGTACTTTGTGTGGATCGTGGCATACCAGACCACTACCTAGTGAGTTAACACAGGAGTCGTGAAGGGAGAAGTTTTCTTCAAACAAACTGCATTTCACTTCATGGGCTACAGCTGAGAATTTGAACTGAATTCAACCAATAGATGTCATCCAAGTGCCTATACATGCAGACGAGTGCTTACAAGGACAAACATCACAATATAAACTTGTACAATCTAGCATTCACGTGAATAGTATTCAGAAATGCCACGTTAATTTCCCCCTCACAAACCCCAAACCAGGTGCAAGCAGAATCATCTTGATGTGCTTGAGAACACTGTAAAGAAATGGCTTCGCATGAGCTGCACTGTGCAGCCATTGTAATTGTTTCTCAAAGTAACCTAGTTTCCTCCAAAATATGGAAGCTTTTGTTGTGAAAGGTCCCCTACATGTACATGTAGTTATTGCCCTTGCAGGAATATTGTTGACTACACGTGTCCATGTACTCGCAGGGCTGGACATGTTTGTGGACATGAGACCTTGTTGACCATTAGAAGTGCACAATGTTTGCATCAACGTTTATTTCTTAAAATATTGAAATTGCCTGTTTCAAGGATTCAAAGATCAAAGTGTAAGTATCCTTTCTATATTTGAGGGAAAAAGAAAATTGATGGGTTTCAGATGACTTCTCAAGGGGCAATGATTGAAGATAAAAGTCTTTGAGATTTTTTTTATTTATGCACTTGCAACCCTGACCTGAACAGTGCAGATCAATATGCCTGTCAGAGAGCCATGCTAGCGCATTTTTCCCTAAAATTTGAGCGACTGCAACAAGGCAGGCTCAAGAGCCAGTCTATCAGGAATTGTTAAAATGCCTCAATCATCTAATTCCCTCACATGTCCGGCCCCCCCAACAATGGAGATTTGAGTGCTTTCATAATGACTGAAACTCTTCTGTGCGCAGACACTACTATAGATTGGGAAACATCCCCCCCCCTTTTCAAATAACCACACTTGGCAAATCAGAATATGATGACCTTAAAAATCCTAAATTGTTCACAGTGGTTACAGTGTCAAGGTTTTGTTACAAATACACATGAATATGATTGATAGGAAATTGCACCTTTCATGAGACCTTTGTACTTTGTACCCAATCCATTGCATTTGTCATTTCTTAGTTTCGAGAGATCTTTTGGGTAAACATTTGTTTAATAAAAACGTAAAATGAGGTACGAGGTCAAGGTTGGAATTAGTCACTTTATTTGTTTCTAGCTGTTTTACCTGAATGTCCAAAACACTGATGGAAAAACTCAATGAATAAATTTTTCCACTTGTCACATAACAGTTACAAACACGTATCAGAACTAGATCTAAGACACAAATTGGCACATGTTCACAATTGCTATGTTAATTAAAGAAGGGAAGTATCACATGCATTAACATTATAGCAAACTGTAAAAGCGCCTCCATGTTACATTAAAATGAGGTACAGTCCTTCCACTGAGGAAAAAAAGCTTAAGAGTTTCTGCAGTGTTATTCCTCGACACATTGTCTGAGAAATTTCCTTTAAAAATATCCGGTTATACACGTACATGATTCAAGCTGCAGGTTGGTTGATTAAGTCATAACAGCTGCAATAATGTAATGTTTAAAAATACTACAAATATACCAGTTGGTTTACACTAAAAAGTCTATATCATAAAACAAGTGGAAAACTGTGGCACAGGCATGCATATTCATATCTGTGATAAAAATAGCACCCTTGATCAAAGATTTAGCACCGTTAATATGTCATCCTGTCTCACTGTTAATTCAGTCAATGCTCAAGACATGTACTTGCAATTGTTCCAAGCTTACATTTCTTGGACGCTGAGCACGATTTTTGGTCAAGTAAGGGTCTCAAGATCATGTTACATGGCAAGGTTTTGCATATATTGAGGCTTAGAGGCTGCTTGCAAGCTTGTCAATGAGACTCCAAAATATTTCATGTCGGTGTCATGGCAGTTTCAATGTGCCCAACAACTGAAGTCCCCTTCAAACTTGATCAAAATGGTTGAATGCAAAAAATGGCTACAAACAGTTTGAAAAAACTGGTTTTAACATCGATCTTCTGTGAACTTGAAATCTGACGAGTTGTGTATTTCTACACCAAAGGGGCCCATCTTTCTTTGCTTCTTTTGCTAAACTTTGTGGAACCCAAGTTCCCTTCTGAACTCAGCTTGATTTTACTCGTGCTACTCAACGCTGGCAAGTTTCATAGGGCATCAACAAGAGCGTAGACTCAGTTCAAGGAAACAACCCTTATGTTTTTTTATGTCTACTGAAAAAGGTCACTGCTACACTGTGATGTGTTCTAATGGTCCTTACACCAAAGAGCTGCACATGTTACATTAATAACAGCAACCTTGACAGCTTTTCCGCAAAACTCAAAAGATGCTATCACATGATTACTACCATTTCATGTTGCACACTTTGGAAGTGCAACTGGATTGATGGCATTTTTAAAATCCAAGGTGTATTACCAAAAAGAATGTTGCAGCTCTCATGTTCTGTTACAACAAAGGACAGGAATATGCACGCGTGACAGAAATGGGGGAAAAAATGCTTAATCTAGAGACTCTGTAACTACATCACTTAACAAAGTTCATACACTCTAAAAAGACATGCATATTTACTTGACAGGTCTTCAAGTTTGGGTCTGATTCATGCTTTTTTACGGGCAGCCAGCGGAGCGGGCATCGTTTAGCTGGTCCTTCGTGCTCCCCTTCAGAGGAACGATGTAAGCTCCGCCCAGATCTACAGTCTCTATCGTCCTGCGTCGCAAACGCTCAATCTCCACCTTTTCCATTGTTGTTACTATCAAGATGCGATCTCCTATTTATAAGAGTAAAATATTGATGCCACAATGGGTGCTTTTAAATGATTGGGTGAGATGAGATGTTTAGATGGTCTGGGAGCCAGACAGTCACAATAAGCATATGTAGATCCCATTTGCTTTTTTTCAAGACTGGACAAGCAACTGGACAGTTGCTACCGGTGTGCAAGCCATCCTGTTGAAATCAGGTTGGTTATTTATTTATTTTTTTAAATAAAATTCAATTAAGTTAATACCCTCTTCAAGTCGGAGTCTATTTCCTTCATGGACTCATTGAGGCATTTTGATGTCACAATTCCAGTCCATGAAAACAGTACGAATCATTTCATCATCGGGAATGTTTTTTTCTATGCCACAGTGATATTTTTCCTATTAGTGGCTAGGTGACTCTTTAGCTGACCATCAGTCCAAATGCAAAAAGAACAGTTCATGAAGTGTAAAAAAATCTTGCAACAGCTATCAAAACACGAACTAAACACTACAACTACATGTGTATGTTCAATGATAATACAACACTTTATAAAAAGTACACTGGAGCAAAGACATATTGAGGTAAAGTCTGCTAACCATTCAGGGATTACATTTCTGCAAACTGTTTGCTGGCCACAGAAATAGCAAGCAACATAAGAGTGGTCATCAGCACATTTCTTGTACAAGAAAATCTTGTACTGTGCATGAAGGGACCCCACATAGTTTGCCTTACCGTATGTGAATTCATCACAAACACACTGTGGATTGATGATGGGGCTAATGTAGCGGGTCTCCGTTACCCTGTTCTCCCTTTGTCTGAGCTCAATCAGGATACGGAGCATACCGTCGCCTCTCTTCTTGGCCCCATAGACTGTATTGGGGGAAAATAATCGTATAATTGACCTTCTTTAACAGATGGACGTGAAGGTCATTCGCCGTACTTTTTTTGAACAAGAATTCCACTTTTGTTGACATTTTACAGCCAAATGCCACAGATACTGTTTTGCTAGAATCATATGAACAGTACATTTCTTACTGTAACCTCTTCATTTCAACGCCCCAGGACATACCCACGGAGCAGAATTTGCTACCAAAGGCCATGCACAACACACAGGTTCACACGTGAGCAGAAGTACAGTGGAGCTTGTACTTCTGCTCATGCAGAAACGGCTGCAACAAGTCTACAACTCCTTCAACAAGTCTGACATATATGAATATTTATATTTCATTGCCAGCCAATCACAGCACAAAATAACCTGATGGTCCAAGGATGCTGTTTACACAGCTCTGCGCCGATGTGTAGGCATACACCATGTTGCAGGATGTACAGTACATGTCAGTAGAGATTGTACTGTACATTTTTGTACATGTACATACTTAGCCTGCAAAATACACAGCTCTCCCGACTGGTCAGTCCCGCATGTGCAAGAAAACAACGGAGATCCACTTAATACTAATAGCAGATATTTTACACCCCTGGAGTTATATTTCTTCCAAACTATACCAACTTGAAACTGTAAAAACAATTTAAATACTCGCTTTTTCCGTAAATCTAGCCCCATAAATGTTTCTGGTACACTGTTGCCAGTCGATACGTTGTCTTTCTAAGCACCTATAGTTATTTCGTGTTTGATTTAATGTGTACTGCCTGTGTACTCCATAGAGTTACATAACTCTATGACGTATTCAGACATCAACCATAGAGCTGTTCCTGTGAGCTTCTACCCACTGCAGACTCATTATAATAACTTTGTTATATAAAAAGCTCTGTGGCAAGCTTGCCGGATTACACACTGACTGAAGTCGGGCGCTTGTGAAAACCAATTCGGAATCATGGCCAGCATGCAGTTGGCAACCGTTATGACCCAGATGGTGCTATTACGATTACAGCCACATTTCTTGTTTGTCTTGCTAATCGTGAATGGACTTGATGTTTTTGTGGAAAATACCACGACAGTTTACTGTTTACTCAAGAAGTAGGAACTGTATGGAGCTGAAACTTTCACAGGTGACTTAATTGTATCTTTCTTGATAATTTTGCCAACCAATCAGCATTTCCTTGAAAATAAAAACAATATATGACCCGACCGTTAAGCAATGCACTAGTTATTTTAAAACCTGTGTGTTGGCCTCCAATACAAATAAATTTTTGAGTCTTCTTCCAAAAGAGAGAAAAAACATGCATCATTTTAAGTGAGTTTTTTTTTTTCCCAAAAATCACCCGTCACAAATTTTCAGGAACTAATTAGCACCACTTAACTCACCGTAATTTGCAGCACAGAATTTTTGTTCGAATCCACTCGGGAGGCTATCACTGCAGACGGGACAAGCTGGAGAAACAAGAAATGCAGAACTGGGGGATTCAAATTCAATGTATGGAGCTCTCACCAACTCTGGTATTTGTTCCAAACTAATGAAATCCACACAAAATTTGAACCCGAGATAACTATCAGTGACCCTGCAATCAAATTGATCTCATGTTGGATCACAGTAAAGGAACGTTTCCTAATTACAAAAGGCGGTAGTTACTGCGGTACCGCTGTATTTTTGCGGTACCAGCATTAAGCCCTTTCGGATAACTAGTGCGGTGCAGTTAAAAAAAAAACAGCAGTACCGCAGTAAATACCGCCTTCAACAATTATGTAACGCTCCCTAACATTCAAGGTTAAGTAACTGGTCAATGAACACACCAAAGTATTGAAAGGAATGCTTTTGTCACATTTCATTGGAATTCATTGTGACCTGTGGGCAGTTGATTTGTGATTTGACTGTGGTGAATAAGTTCAAGTGCATACAGGCCATCTCCTATGAGCAACACTTTCACCAAGTAAGTCTGTCCCAACACCATGTGCAATGCAGCTGAACCAGCAAATAAGGCTACATAACACCAACATGTCAACTAGTTACCTGTATCACCGACATGTCAACTAATTAACAGAAAAAACTACCAGCCAATCAAATTTCTTACAGATGCAGTTGCCTTCACTATCATACTGATATCCATCCCTGCAGTTGCACTCGTAGGTGCTGGGGAAGTTGACGCACACCTCGCCGGGACCTGGGCAGCTTTCTGCGTAGGTACACTCATCCACATCTGTAAGTTTCACATATAAGCAAAAGAATTCCATCAACTTGTCCTCTCTCGGACAGAGACATCCCACTTCTGCAACAAATAGAGTGCCACTACGTCTGGGTGGGAAACTGTACTAAACAGGTTAAATCAGTCATTAGACCAATAGACCAATGCGGTGGCATTTCGAGGGACACTCCTAACTAGCCCACTCAAACAGCAGAAAGCACTGTGCTGTCACAGAAGTGGTTCGATCCATACAACAGTGATCACAAAGCTTGCCACCACTGGCTGTGGCCACTGCACACAACTAGTGAAACTGTTGATACAGTCTCAAGAGAGGGCAATCATCACAGGCACTGTCCAAGGTAGACCAGACGCCATCTCACAAGATGTGGCACTGTAAAGGGTTAACCCCTTTGTCAGCTACACAAATTTTTACAGAGTAACAAATGTAATTTTTTGGAACAGTGGGAAAGGGGAGCGACTCTAATGATCCCCTCCTCCTAGTAACACTTGTTCGAATGAGGGTATATAGTTACAATTTAACTTCACCCTAACCCCCCCGGCCCCATTTGCTGTGCATCTTCCTCATTTCTCCAAAATCCTTTAGCGTACAAACTCTATGGAGTAATAAACAAAGCAAAATAAAACAAAAGCAATGCAGTGAAGTAAGGGGATTCTACAACTTGTGACCAGCAATAAACAATGGAGGGCAACTTTCATGAACAAGGAATTAAATAGTACCCCCGCTGAAGTTAACAAAAACAATCCCCAAAATCCTGTATCACTTCAACCCCATTCTCCTCAATCCTCCAAAATCATCCAATCCTCCAAACACCATTCTCCCTCAATCCCTCAAAATCCTCCAACTTTAAAAACACCATTCTCCTCAATCCTCCAAAACCACCCAAAGGATTTTGGAGTACCAAAGAGAGGTAGGGGTAGGGTTAAATGGTAATTCTGGGAGATAAAAGTGGCCAGAACTAAGGGCTCATTATCTGATTTTATATGCCTCCTCCATAAATCCCCATCATCTGATTGGTGAATTGTCGATCACATGGCATTGAATTATTCGTATCAACACACAGCACCTGCACAATGCAAGCACACGGGTACGCAGAGTACAAAAAATTTTAACAACTGTGCATTAGAAACAAATAACGAACACTTCTGGATCGATTGCACTGCAGATTCTAGTGGTGCAAGTTTCTTTACGGCAAAATGACGAGTGATCATACTCCACTGTTCACAATTCTATAAAATAATTATAAAAACTTCAGTCTGTAAGTACTGCTGATGCTGCCAACATCAGGAAACAGATCAAATGCTGCCGGACAATTAAACCAGCTCGGTATATCATGTCAAAAAATTAACAGATTCACAACTGGACAACTCTCAGTTTGATTCAATTAATTAATCCAGCTGTACTCAGAAAATCAGATGGCAAGCATTTATACAGGTGTTGTACAAAACAAATAATGAATGTTTCGCATTCGTCCGATGGTAAGAATAAGGGGAGAATTCCTTTTTTAACCGGCGGTAATTCGAGGTTGAACCTCGCGGTAACTCAGGGTTTGACACTCTGCACGCGTTTGCAGCTAGATGAAGCAGCCAGGTTGTGATGACCACAGTGCTTGGTGTGCACTGACCCAGAGATAATGAGCTTATTATAGAGAAGCCCAGGCGGTACCGTGAAAAACCCCGAATTACCTCAGGGTCAACCTCGAGTTACCGCCGCTTCAAAGAGGAATTCTCCCCTAACTGCATTCGGTGACAGATGAAATGGTCTATTCCACTCCGCTTTGTGGAGTCACTCATGCAACACAGCCACTTCACAATAGGGCGCCTCCAAGAGTTTACAACGCGTTGGCCAATCACAACGCTCGAAATTTGTCGACCCTTTCTAAACGTGCATGGGGTCGACAACTTTCGCGCAATGTGATTGGCCAACGCATTGCAAACTCTTGGTGGCACACTATTGTGAAACGGCCGTATTATTCTTACCATCACCCTCATAAACATTCATTATTTGTTTACTGTCAAACATATTTTGGGCCGATTTAATCAGCTGTATGTAGTCTCAAGAAGTGTTGTATTCAAGTCCATCACATGTCCCTGTGAGTCCAGCACAAGTCCATCTCAAGTCATTCAGTCTTAAGCCAATTCACTTGCTATTCAAAGGAGCAGTAACAAAAGCATTCTTTAGTCACTGTTCACCCTGTTACTAATGACTGGCCTTGTGAAGGGACTTATAACTGGACTTGTGATCGACTCGAAAATAACACTGGTCCCAAGGTCTTGTAAGTAGCTCCATGCAAACTAATCAGCCTGGGCACTAGATCACTACCTAAAGGTGTACTGATTGATGGTCAAAATTTCTGGGAATTCCCCGTGTCATCTGAAAAATATAAAGTCAATTAGAAGTTTGAAGGCAGTTTAACTTCTGGCTTACCTACACATGTTCCGTTCTGCTCCTCATAACCAAGGTCACAGTCGCATCGGTAGGATGACGGCCGACTCCTATCATCTACACAAACTCCGCTGCCACAAACACCCGGGTTCAACGTACAATACTGGACTGCACCATTGGAACAAATATTTGAATTATTTCCATTCTGCAAAATGCAAATATCAAACTACTATCTGCTGGTGAACAGCATCAGCCGTCACGCAAAACTTGCATGTGAACACTTGATAGTGAAGAAGCACACGGGTAGCAAGGGGGATTCACTTATATTACACCCTTGCACAGCTGACTGACATTGTCTCCGATTCCAAGAATCAAATCGTTGGCAATTAATTACCTGCAGCTTCAGTGGTGGTTGGGGTTGTTGTCGGAGTTGTAGGCATTGGTGTCGTTGTTAAAGCTGTCGAGAAAAAGGAGTCAAGCAAATGCCATTGAAGAATAAGCTGCACCAATTTGTTGACTGGTAACAATTATTACACACTGCATGGTATTTTGACTGGTGTCCCACTTCCGCTTAAGGAGACATTTTTTCTGCTCAGAAGCCCTTAGAAAGTGGCTCTTGCTCTTTTGGTCAAACTGCCCTAAGACAACGGGGACGGACGGATGGATGGATTCAGAGGCTTGATACAAATCACGAATCTTGGCCTGGAGAGAAAATTCGTCCACAACAAAATGCATCCCATAGTAAAACTGAAGTAACTGAGGCAAGTCCTCCACAGCCAGTGAGGGACTCACCCACACACATTCCTCTCTCGTCAGTGTACCCAGGGTCACAATCGCAGCGATGGAAGGACGGCTGAGTCTCATCATCCACGCATACACCGTTGCCACAGATGTCGGGATACAGGAAGCAGAACGAATCTAGGAAAAGTCAGAGTTCAGAGTATTGGAAAACAGTTGGGGGAATGCCACGACTTCAAACGTCCCAAAAATGGCAGAAGACCCAGGTTCAACATGCAATACTGAACTGCACCAATGAAAGTTATATTTGAATAACTTTCAGTATAGTGTCATTCGACCACCAGAATTAGAAGCCATAACTGCGGTGGCACAACGCTCGTGGACAGGTGGTACGCGCACGTTACATGCCTCTTCGACTAACAGGGTGTGGTGATTTGCCAAATACATGCGCAGGCCAAGCTGTAAAATGTGCATGTTGAGTGCGGTTCCACCGCAGTTATGGCGTCTAATTGGATTAGTCTAAACAAAATGCAAATACCAATCCCCGCTGCTGGTAAAAAGCATTGCCAACAGTTGAGCGTAACTTGCACGTGAACACTTTCCAACTAAGGAAGCACGGGGTAGCAAGAGGGAGAAAGCTGAACTGAAGTTGTCTCCGATTCCAAGAACTAAATCATTTGCAATTAATCACCTGCAGCTTCAGTCGTGGCTGGTGGTGGTGTTGGAGTTGTAGGCATTGGTGTCGTCGTTATAGCTGTCAATTAAGAAAAAGGAGTTGGGCCAATAGTATACCGTGGCACTGTAGAAAATGAAGTTGGGCAAATTTGTTTATTTCAGAGGTGTAAGTGAGCACAAAAAAATAACTGAAATGGCACGTGCAAGGCATGAAGCATAAACAGAGTCCAGTCTGGGGCCTGCTTAAGAGCCCTGGAAAATTTTAAAATGTGTACCTTCTGTGGTGCATTTTACAAGCCTCTTAGAGCAACCACCTTTTTTTAATGTATGCATATTTTCAATATAACTTTTTTCTGCATATTTGCCTAAAACTTCCTGAGAGTTAAAATGAACTAGTACACCAAAATTGTAAGTATCAAAAGGTTTGTACAGCGTGAAAAAAATCACTAGGAGAAAACTAGGAAAATATGGCACATCTGTGGCAGCTGTGCAGAAAATGAAATTCAGCAAAATCAACAAAAAAAGCAGAAATCTGCTAAAAGCGATTTCACACTCCTGTTATTTAGCACAAATAAGATGGGAACCAGTCAAAATTAGCATACAGGGCATGGTATTGTGACTGGTGTCCCACCTTGGCTAAAGGGGACGGGGGGCTAAATGACAACAAGGTTATCTGGAGGGAAAATTTTCTCCACAACAAACACACACTAGGTTTGTGCATCCCATAGTAGAACTCAAGTAACTGAGGCAAGTTCCCCACCCACAGCCAGTGAGGGACTCACCCACACACATTCCTCTTTCGTCAGTGTACCCAGGGTCACAATCGCAGCGATGGAAGGACGGCTGAGTCTCATCATCCACACATACACCGTTGCCACAGATGTCGGGATATAGGAAGCAGAACGTATCTGGGAAGAGTGGCATGCTTTTTAGAGTTATGGTTCACAAGAGTCAGAATAAAATTTGAGATATCCCACAACTTTTAACATCCAAACATTCACGGAACAAGGCTTAGAACTTTTTCTCAGACACAAAGTGACAGCATTCAAATATTTTGATCTCCTAATGAATATTCACACTGTCTCTCATTCTCTAATTCTCTATGCCTAGTACAAGCGCCGAGCTTGACAAAGAGAGAGACCAAGTTTCCTAGCAATTGAGGCTCCTTTGGTCTGAACTTCACTTCACAGATTCACAAACTATGAAATGCGTGCATTACAGCTGCGTAACTACCAGCAAAATGAACATTCTCGACCATGCCTTCCAACTTAAATTACTTCATCACTTCAGTGGCAAAAGTTCACATCTCCAGCTGTGTGGAACCAGGCCAAACAATGTGTCAAAACACAAGGGGAAAAGTTCAGAAAAATCGGCCAATCTGCCATTCAAAAATTTCTTTCGGGTCAAGGGACGATGGACAGGTTTGTTGACGAGGATTCACCACCTGGAATGGTTGGGGCTGCGCCGTTTCTTTCATTAATAGCTATGTCTAACCTAACCCCAAAGATTTGACTTTGCTATTACAGTTTGCTGTGTCATAGTAATTTGATGTATTCACCTGCAGTGATTAGTGGCGTTGGCATGGTGGTTGGAACTGTTGTCTGAACTGTTGTTGAAACTGTGGTTGGAACCGTGGACAGAGCCATGGGTTTCGAAGTCAAAGCTGTTCACGAATCAACCAAGTTACAAACCAAGTTACAGCTGCTAGAATTAGCAAAAATCACAGATGTAAAACAGTAGATGTTGAGGTTAAAAAATACGTAAACATACATGAGTAAACTCCAACTGACCAAACCACTGGCGGCGGAACAATTTACAAAGTGGGGGGGGGAGTTGGGAGACCATCAGGCATCAGTCATTAATAGCTCGATCCATTGATTTTCACCCAATTATAGGACCTGCAGAAAATGAGGGGGCCAGCAGGCCCCCATCAAAAAAGTGAGGGGGGGTCACTGGGCCCCCCTCCCTGCTTCCGCCACCAGTGGACCAAACCTGTTTGCAGTTAGTAAGGGGTTAGCTTTGCAACTAATATGTACTAGAAGGTTAACTGTTCAGTCTAGAGGCAAACTAACTGATAAACCATTCACCTGCTGGTATTGCAACTGTTGTAACTGAAGGTGCAACTGGTATGGAAGTGGGCTCACTTTCTGGCACAACTGGTTTGTCT